GAGACCTGAGCTGGACTGGGGCATTGGGGACAAAGGGAGGGCCAGGGCCTGGCAGACTCTGGAGGTGGGAGGCAGGAGGGCCGACGTGTTGGGCCATTCTCAGAGTCCCATGTCCTGGGGTCCCGAGCAGGGGAGACCAGGCCCCTTCTAGGCAGCTGTGGAGGTGCTCTGCCCGTTGCTGGTTATGTGGGCCGGTCCCCCCTGCGGCAAAGACCTGACAGAGGTGAAGATGCCAGGCTGACTCAGTCATCCTCATTCCTCCGCTCCAGTCGAGCGACGGTCGCATGCCAGGCCCTGGACGTGGTGTGGGAACAAAACGGGCCTGTGACCCAGGGAGAGGAAAGGTCACCCGGGCCCGATTTGATTTACAAGGTGTGGAGAGCAGACACGCAGCACCTGTTTTTAGGACATGCTGTGTGATCCAGCCAAGCAGGGGTCTGAGTGGGGGCCTCCCTGGCCTGTGAGCACCGGCAGCAGAGGCAGGCGGGGAACGGAGTTCCTGGCAGGAAGAACAGCAGATGCAAAGGCCCAGAGGTGGGAATAGTACTCAACACATTGAGGGGCTTTAGCTGGAGTGTGGGGTCCACGGGGAAGGAGGGACTGGGACAGAAACTGTCTATAGGACTGATGCTCAAACCCCAGCTCGGCTTGGTACTTGCTGTGTGGCCTTGGTCGAGTCACTTCCCCTCCCTGAACCCCCATTTTCCCACCCGTAGCATCATCACGTACAAGGAGATTTAGTCTCTCTCCCATTCGTGCCTCAAACTCAGTGAATATTGATGCGCAGTTATTTACGGAGCGGCTGGTTGTTCTGGGCTCCGAGGGAGCCGTGGTTTGGTTACTGCTGGCCTGGAATGAGCAGGCTTTGGGAGTCTCTACAGGCCCGCGCTGAGAACCGCAGAGGGAGGTGGAGGATATAGCCAGTGCTCTTTGACTTTCCTTCACTTTTTCCTGCTAAAGCCTTCATGCATTCATGCATTCATGCATTCATTCATGCATGCACTCATTCATTCGCACATCTATTTGTCCACACATCCATTCGTTCATTCACGCACCCATCAGTTTAGTCACATATTCATTCATTCATTCAGCAGTCAGTCAGTCCGTCCTTCAGGCAAATACTGGTTGAGCACGGGCAGAGTCCCAGCTCTATGGATCCCACCCTGGGCTCCTGGGGGTGTGGCTCGACCAGACTTGGAGATGGGAACTGCTCATTTAAACACTCAGTGAGCCCTGGCTGGTTTGGCTCAATGGTTAGAGCATTGGCCTACGGTCCAGAGAGACCCAGGTTCGGTTCCCACTAAGGGCACCTACCTTGGTTGTAGTTTGTCCTTGGTTGTAGTTTGTCCCCGGCACTCGATGTGTCCCTTTCACGTCAATGTTTTTTTTTTTCTCTCTCTCTCTCTCTCTCTTCCTCTCTTTCCCTCCCACTCTATCTGAACAAAAAATGGAAAAATGTCCTCCGGTGAAGATAAAATAAAAACCTTCAGTGAATATTCAGGGACTCCTGAAGGGCACAGGATCTGTTCCTCTTTGGCGTCTCTGTTTTCTTCTGCTGTAACCTGGGGAGGAAGTTTTTCCCTGAGGAGCTGTCCTGAGATCAAAGCTGAAAATGCTGACAGTTAACGAATGCGTTTCCTCAGCAGGTAGCAGGAGCCAGGTGCTTCCCAGTTTTACTACTTTTAATCCTCAAGTAGGATTAAAACTGAGGTAGAGATTATCGTTATCCTCATGTGACAGGAAACTGAGATTCAAAGAAATTCGATCTGCTGCCAGGGGCACAGAAAGGGCCAAGGCCCAAACACTCAATTGCTGATCTGCCTGGGAACTGACGACCTCACAGCCCCCGCCCACTGGGCTAAATCTGCCCGGCAACCGGTGACATCACTAAGACTGTGGTTCAGGCTCAACCTATGGAGTACCTGCTAATACCTCTGACCCATAAGGACAGTAGGATGTGATGAGCGCTTACTGAGTGCCAAATGCTGTGCGAAGCAGTCCCTCCTCCGGGTTCACAAATGTCCATTGTTGCCTCTATTACTGTGAATAATCATGATTTTAGCCCAGATGTATTGACTGCAGACCATGAGCCAATCATTTTTACGGCTATTGACACATTCAACCTTCCCACTATTTCTACCGTTAAAAATTAGCAAACATTTATATAGTACTTACTCTGTGCCAGACACAGTTCCAAACACTTTTCCATGCTCACAACAACCCCGTGAGGTAATGATTATTATCATCCCCATTTTATGGATGAAGAAACTGAGGCACAGAGAGGTTGAGTGACTTGCCCACAGCCACACAGCTGGTGGGACATAGACTTCAGACCCACGTATTCTGGCTCCAGGGTCTATGCCATTAACCAAGACACTGTGCGATTTCTCTTATCCCCATGTTACCATTGAGGAAACTGAGGCATGGAGCGATTTAAGCACCTGGTCTCAGCTGGGCTAGAAAGTGCCAAAACCAGACTCTGGGCATGTGATGTCCAGTTCCAGAACTGGGCCCTTATCCACACTTGTGTCGCGGTGGCCACTCAGAAGCAGAGCCTGCAAAGTCGCCACCTCCACCCCTCTGAGGTGACCAGCCCTCCCTCCTTGTCCCATGGGGAACAGCCCCCAGCCAGGGACAAAGGAGCCTTTACCAGCTTTGTAGACCACACATCAGCTTCCCAACAGTCCCCCTCCAACCCCCTCGGGACACTGCCCTTCGGGAACCCTGGCTGACTGGGCTGAGCCTCCCCAGAGCCCTCCTGGGACCCAAGGCAGAGGGCACAGTTCTCTATGTAGCCTCTGTCCTTCTGCCCCAAGCCTGAGCCTGATGCCAGGCCTTGGAGAAACTCCCCATCCCACAGATCTCCAAAGCTAGTGGAGGAAGGCCTTCAGGAAAGACACCAGGAGCTTGCTGGGTGAGTCGCAACTTTCAGTGGGCCTCAGTTTCCCCATCTGTCAACTGGGCGGACAAGGAGGAACTAACAGAAAAGGCCTCTGCAGGCCACCTGCGTTTGCCACCTCACTGGGTCCAACACCTGGCCTCCTTTTTATGAAAAACAGTTGTTTTCATGGGAAGCGTATTTTTTTCTTTAATGTTTTCATTCATTCAGTGAATGTTCTATTAAAGTAAAACTCACAAGCATGTTGTGCAGTGACTCAACGCATTTTGCAAAACGGGCACACCGTAATTACCAGCCCCCCATGTGCCTCTACCCCACAATTCCTCATCCCCCCAAGGGTAACCACCACCACCCCCTCCTAACACACAACTTCCTTTCCCGTGTTTGAACTTCCCGCAACTGGACGGATGATCTGGCCACTCTCTTGCCCCTCATCCTCATCCTTCATCTTTCATTCAATACTACGTTTCTGAGGGGTTTCTTTTGGCTTGTGTTTTGTTTTTATTGATTTTCAGACAGACAGGAAGGGACAGGGAGAGAGAGAGAAAGAGAAACATTGATGTGAGAGAGAAGCATCAATCGGTTGCCTCCCATGCACGCCGACCAGGTATTGAACCAGCAACCTGGGTATGTGCGCTCATCGGGAATTAAACCAAAACCCTTCGATGACAGGTTGGTGCTTCAACCAACTGAGCCACGCCGGCCTGGGCATGTTTTTGAGTTTTTGCCTGTGCAGTTGGACTCCAACCCTCTTTTTTTTTTTCTTATCCTCACCCGAGGACATTTTTACATTTGTCTTCAGATAGAGTGGGAGGGAGAGAGGGAGGAAGAGAGAGAGAGAGAGAAAGAAACATTGATGTGAGAGAGACATATCAAGTGGTCGCCACCCACACTACCCCAACCGGGGCCAGGGACAAACTGCAACGGAGGTACGTGCCCTTAGCGGGAACTGAACCTGGGTCTCTCTGGACCGCAGGCCGACGCTCTAACTGCTGAGCCAAACAGGCCAGTGCTCAATGTATTGTCTTAAGTGTACTATAAAGATACAGATGGCCCTGGCCAGTTTGGCTCAGTGGTTAGAGTGTCGGCCAGCGGACCAATGAGTCATGGGTTTGATTCTGGTCAAGGGCATGTACCTCGGTTGCGATTCATCCCCGGCCCTGGTTGGGGTCGTGCTGGAGGCAGCCACTCGATGTGTCCCTTCCACATCCATCAATGTTTCTCTCTCTCTCCCTCTCACTCTATCTGAACAAAAATTGAAAAATGTCCTTGGATGAGGATAAAAAAAAAAAACCCCACAAACACCCAATGAAATATGTCCCCAACTCAACTTCACCTTAGTCAGGTCCCCCAAATCCTCATCCCTCTCCTACACCATGGACCGGGGACTCTGGGGGGATGTTGCGACAGAAAGAGACAGTGGATGAAATGGATAGTTCTCAAAACATCTCCCATTGGGCAGTTTTACTTTTGTGATTTGGAAAAGCAGCTCAAGTGAGGGGCTTGAAGCTTAAGACAGGTTTAGCTTCTCAATGACCCCACGTGTGTGTGGGGGGTAGCAGGAGGGGGTGGAGTACTTCTTTGGCCTCAGTTGGTTTCCTCGCTGGTAAAATGGGGTGGCGACTTAGCGTCTTCCTCCTGGAGAGTTGGGGTGAAAACTAAATGTACGGAAAGCATCTAGTCCCGCTTTGCAGATGGGAAGTGCTCCATGTCCCACCAGCTGTGTGGCTTTGGGCAAGTCACTGACCCTCTCTGTGCCTCTCTGTCTTCATCCATGAAATGGGGACAATAATCACTGTCACCTCATAGGATTGTTGTGGGGTTTCAGTAAACCATTCTCACTTTGCAGATGAAAAAATCAGGCACAGAGAAAGCCCCTTGCCAAGGTGCCCCTCGCCCGTCTCCTCGCTCCTCCCGAGATCTCTCTGCGGCTTTCTGCTGCCTCTGTGTGTCCTGGTGACCTCAGCTGTGAAGCTGGACACGGTGCAGGTTCGGGGATCTTAGGGAACTTGCAAATGCAGGCCCCTGGCCTTGCACCTTCCCAGGTGACCTGTGTCCTCACCTCCTCCCCGTTCTCATGGTGTCTCCCACCCTCCTACAGCCAGAAGCTGTCAGGTGAATACTTCCGGTACAAAGGCATCCCCTTCCCGGTGGGCATCTACTCGCCAGAGAGCATCAGCATCACGGAGAACGCCGAGGTGCAGGATGATGACATCTTCGTTGTCACCTACCCCAAGTCAGGTACCTGCTGGGTTGGGCTGGGGGTGGTGAAGGGAGGAGACAGAGGACAAGAAGGGCACGCTGAGGACTACAGGGGAAGGGGAAGGGGCTGGGTTTGTTCAGAATGGGGTGACCTTGGCCTTTGCACTGGTGCCCCCCCAGCAGATCTCAGATCCCTCCCCTGCCCCAGGTCAGCTCTCACGTCCACAGAGGGCCTTCCCTGTCCTCTCCATCCCCTTCAGTCACCTCAGCCCTTACTCCACGTAACACTACCAACCGCCATATATTTATCTGTTGATTTCTTCTCTGGTTTCCCCACTAGAATGTGGGCTCCTGGCGGGCAAATATCTTAGTTTGTCTTATTCACTGCTGTGTTCTTTTTCTTTGAACCCGAGACAGTGTCTGGTACATCATAAGTACCCCGTAAATGTCTGTGGAAGAAAGGGGGAGGGGGAAGGGGGAGGCTCTGCAGTGACTTCGCTGCAAGTCCTTGGGGAGGTTTTAGTGCGAGAAGGGACAGACTTCAACATTTTCTTTTCTAAAATGATGAGTTGACTTTTTTTAAAAAGTATTTTTGAAATTTTTTCAAAATCTGACGTTCATCCTTTCAGCGTGGAGTTCTATGTGGGGTTTTTTGGGTAACAGCTTTGAGATACAATTCACATACCATTCAGTGCACCCATTTTTTTTTTTTTTAATCCTCACCTGGGGACATTCCTCCATTTTTTGTTCAGATAGAGTGGGAGGGAGAGAGAGGGAGAGAGAAACATCGATGTGAAAGGGACACATCGAGTGGTTGCCAGCGCACGACCAACCAGGGCCGGGGACAAACTGCAACCGAGGTACGTGCCCTTAGCGGGAACCGAACCCGGGTCTCTCTGAACCTCAGGCCGACGCTCTAACCGCTGAGCCAAACCGGCCATAGCCAGTGCACCCATTTTAAAGTGAGATTCTATGGCTGTTGTGTATTCACAGTTGTGCAACCAGCACCACAATCAGTTTTAGGGCATTTTTATCACCCCAACGGGAAACCCTGTACCCATTACATCACCTCCCAACCCCCACATTCCTGTGCCCAAGCCCCTGGCCATCATTAATCTACTTCCTGTGTCCATGGATTTGCCTGTTCTGGACAGTTCATTGAGTGCGTGTCCTGTGTGACTGGCTTCTTCCACTCAGGGGAACGTTCGCGAGGTCCCTCTTAACCAGTTCCTCGCTGATCAGCAGTGACTCGATTCCAACCCTGTGCCTTTATGCACACTGTAAGCTTTGTACACAACCCCCCATCTTACACGTACATCGCGTGCACACGTGTGCCTTTGCACAAGTCCTTTTTTTTTTATTAAGTAGAATAAGCTCCTAGATATGGAATTGCTTGGCCAAAGGGCCGGGCATCTGCAGTTGTGATGGATATAATCAAATGTCCCTCCATCCAAGTTGTAGAAATCTATTCCCCAAACAGCAGGCTGTGTTTGAAACAGCTTTGGAGATGCAAGGTGGTGATATTTGCACCAGGTGGGTGTACTTAATGCCACTGAACTATGGGTAAATTGGTAAATTTTATGTTCTCTATATTTCACCACACACCCACAAAAAAGAATGGTTAGCTAATAACAGGGGAGTAAACTACCAAGGGGTAAAGAGAGCCCCAGTGGATCCTGGAAGAGTGAAGACAGGGAGCAGCCAGGCCGTCTACGTCTGAAGCAGAACACCCAAGGACATTTGCTGGGGGTGGGGGTGGCGGGAGTGTCACCGGGTCCATTGCACTGCTGGCCCCTGTCCATCACAGCAGCCGGCTGAGCGGAGCCTGGGAAAACCGGGCGCAGAAACGCCAGACTCCAGCAGGGTTCCTCCAGCGCCCTCTACTGACAGAGCTTGACATTGCACGGCTGGCAAAGGAGAAATGTTCGCCGGATGCAGCAGCTGAGAGGCGCTGGAGCCGAGGGCCAATGCACGGAGAATTCCCAGGGTGGTAGTTAGAATCCAAGGCAACAGAATACTGACAACAGGTGGTTGTTAACATTTATCCTTCTCATTATTTCTGGTCTAACTTGCCTGTAGTCTCCTGGAACCCACACCTGTGAACTGGGTCATTGATGAGGTCCCTTCCTTCCCCATTTGAGGCTCCCCACAAAATCACGGGGTAATTCCCAGGAAGGGGCAAGTGAAAAGAGCTGAAAATTTTAAGTCCAGTCACCTGGATTCAATTCCAGCTTCCCCGGTGCGTGGATGGATTAGCGAGTCCTCCGGCCCTAATACATGAGCCTCAGAATCTAAGAAGCCGGACCCAATAGTTTGTTTCCCATCCTGTAACTCCAATCGGTGCTGGAGGCAGGGAGGGGAGGGTGTGGGGTAACCGAGCAGCCTCAGGGAGCCTGGTTCCTTCAGCCATGGCTCTGCCATCCCCGGAGTCCCCATTCCCACTGGGTCTCTGCATCCAGCCAGCAGACAGGGCTCAAGCGAGTGGGAGTCACATGGGATGTGTTTATGGACCAGGCCTGGAACCCACTGCACGTGGCTGCCACCTGCACGTCCTTGGCCAGAGCTGTCACGTGGCCCCACGCAGCTGCAGGGGAGGCTGTGTAGTCCGGTCAGAGTCCCTGTAGGAAAATACAAGGGGGCTGGGTGGATGGCTCTCCAGTCTCTGCCACGTGCCACCTCCCAGCTCTGCCACCTGGGCCAGCGACCTTGTTTCTTTGAGTTTCAGCTTCCTGCTCTGAAAATAAAGATAACCAACTCCACTTTCCCCGCTGGGTGTGAGGAATCCGGGCATAAAATACGTAGCCATTTGTGCAGTAAATGAAGCCATTATAAATCTCCCTCTTCGCCCCTCCCCATCTCCCATTAATTTGCCCAATTTCTCCCACCAGGCACCAACTGGATGATCGAGATTCTCAGCTTAATCATAAAGGACGGGGACCCCTCCTGGATCCGCTCAGAGCCCATCTGGGAGCGGGCGCCTTGGTGTGAGACCATCTTGGGTGCCTTCAGCCTCTCGGACCAGCCCAGCCCCCGCCTCATGAGTTCCCACCTCCCCATCCAGCTCTTCACAAAGGCCTTCTTCAACTCCAAGGCAAAGGTGCAGGAGGAAGGGCTGGGAGGTGGGGGGAGAGCGCACATAACTAAGTGATGAATTCAGCACATATTTACTAAGCACCTACTATGTCCTGGCCCTGATCTAGAACAGTAGTAAAAAAAACCACAATGTGAGCCCACATTCTAAAGGGAAACAGGCGGCCATGGCCGGTTTGGCTTAGCAGTTAGAGCATCGGCCCTCGGACCAAAGAGTTGTGGGTTCAATTCTGGTCAAGGGTATGTACCTCGGTTGCAGTTTGGTCCCCGACCCTGGTCGGGGTCATGTGGGAGGCAGCCAGTCGATGTGTCTCTCTCACATCGATCTCTCTCTCTCTCTCCCCCTTCCTCCCACTCTATCTGAAGATAAATGGGAAGATATCCTTGGGGGAAGATTAAAAATATAATAAGTAAATAAAGGGGAATAGGCAGAGAATAGATGGAATAAATAAGAAAAACATTGAATATGTCCAAGATGAAAAATTCACATCATGAAGGAAGAGAGGGTTAGAGTTAGGGGTGGGTGTTGCAGTTATAAGTAGGGTGGTCAAGGGAGTCCCCAGCAAGAATGTCCCTTTGGAGTAAAGACCTGGAAGGTGAAGGAAGAAGCCAGGGAGGGGTGTCTGGGGGAAGAAAGTTCCAGGGAGAGGGAAGAGTAGGTGCAAAGGCCCCAGGGTGGGTGTGATGTGTCTGAAAACCAGCAAGAAGGCCCGTGTGGTGGGAGCCAAGCGAACGCGCCGGAGAGCAGTGGAAATAAGGCCAGGGAAGTAACGGGGCCAAAATGTGCAGGGACGTGTGGGCGGTGGAGCCAATTTATGTTTTCAGTGATGCCCTCTGGTGGCGAGGTGGGGAACAGCCCGTCACGAAGAGGGCAGAAGCGGGGAGAGTCGGAGTGGACGATGCGGTTGGAGGCGACCAGGGTGGTGGCCGTGGGGGTGAAGAAAAGGGGGTGTAGTTTGAAGGTAGAATCAGGATGATTTGCTGACAGATTGGCTGTGGGTGTGAGAGAAACAGATGAGTCCAGGTTGTCTCCAGGGCGTTTGGCTGCAGGAGACAGGGAGGATGGGGCTGTCATCAGCTGAGACCCAGGGCAGGGAGGAGGGGTTTGGGGGAATATGGGGAGCCCTGCAGTGGCCCGCGTCGCCCAGGTGTAGGTCGCCAGTGGGCAGCGAGGTAGATGAATCTGGATTTGACGGGAGAGAGATCCGGGCTGGACACAGATGTTTGCAATGTGCAGATAACAGATGGATAGATGAGTAATTAAAGCCACGAGACTGGTGAGATCCCCCAGGAAGTGAGTGTAGTCAGAGACAAATGGGGACAGCAATCCGGGACTCCCTGAGACCACCCTCAGGCTCTGCTTCACTGGGAGTCAGAACTCAACAAAACTGTTAGACTCCGGCGACTGTCACTACACCGAGAGCAGCGATTAAAGTCAGCGAGGGCAAGAGACACGTGGGGTGGGCGGAGACAGTGCCAGCTTCCACCCAACGGCTTAGTCCTCGCCGCAGTGACCTGTGACAACAAGCACGGAGCACTGTCACCCCAGGGACACTCACCTGAGCCTTGGTGCCCAGGGTTTTTGTTGGAGGTTGGTCGCATACATGGCTGACCACCATGGGGCTGACCTAGATCTTGGGGAAGGAGACAGTTGACAGGGAAGGACATGTCTGATGGGGCTGCAGGGGAATTGGTTATAGACTATGAACCTGGTAAACAGATTGGAGCCAGGTAATCCAGGCCTCAAATGCCAGGTCCAGGGTCTGGGACTCTGTCCAGGGCACTGGACAGCCAAGGAGGGCAGAGTCAATTCTGGGTGAAGGAACACCCTCTGGGGCTGTGTGGAGGTTGGGAAACTAGGCAAGAGGCAGGGAGGGGGCTGGAGTGAAAGTCTAGGCAGGAAAATTTGAGGCTCTTGGAAGAGGAAGGAGGGGCAGCTTTTCTTCTCTTTTGGTTGACACCTCTTGCCCTGATCTCCCCGATCCTGAACTCCATCCCTTTCTCCTCCACTCTCTCCCTAAAGCCAAATGTCCTTCCACCTGATCCAGAAACAGTCCCTCTCTCCTCCTAGAATGTGGTTGGAGGGAGCTCTCCCTGTACTCTGGGATGAGTGAAATGATCTGAGCTACCAAAGCTGGGAAGTTCCTGAAAAGTCTACCCTGAGTCCTTCCTGCTGCAGGGTCAGAAAAGGGGGCTCAAAGCACACAGCCTCAGGGGCTGGGGTCCTGGCCGTGTCTGACTCCTTCTTCCCTGTCCCCAATACCCATACACAGGTGATTTACATGGGCCGGAACCCCCGGGATGTGGTGGTGTCGCTCTATCATTACTCCAAGATTGCGGGGCAGTTGAAGGACCCCGGCACCCCTGACCAGTTCCTGCAGAACTTCCTCAAAGGCGAAGGTGAGGACGGGGAAGGGGGATGTGGGGGGAGAAGCCCCTAGTGGCCCAGACCGGAAGAGGGACAGAGGGATGAGAAGGAGAGAGAGGCAGAGATACAGGGCATTATAAAGGGCGAGGGAGACAGAGAGGAGACCAAGAGAAACAGAGAGACTGAGACAGAGAGACAGAGAGAGACAGAGGGAGGGAGTGAGACCAGGAGACTGAGAGAAACACCAAAGACAATGAGAGGAACAGAAATGGGGAGAAGAATGAAAGAGAGAGAGAGCACGCGTGCACACGTGCGAGAGAGAAATGGTGGATCGAAGCTCCATCCCAGGTAGAGGGCGTGCAGGAGGCGGTGGATCGATATGTCTCCCTCTCTCTAAAAATATTTTTCTAAATCATTTTCAAAAAGAGATGAAGAGAGAAAGAGCCAGGAAGGCAGAGGGACATGGGGTACCAGATGTGGAGGGCACCCAGCTTGAAGGGGCCAGGCCTGGAGCCCCAGCTGGGTGGCCCTGTTGCCCGGCCCTCACCCCTCCGCCCCTCTGCCCGCAGTGCAGTTCGGCTCCTGGTTCGACCACATTAAAGGCTGGATTCGGATGCAGGGCAAAGAGAACTTCCTGTTTATCACCTACGAGGAGCTGCACGAGGTGATTCCCCGCCACCCGGCCCAGCACCCCCCTTCCTCCCCTCCCCATCCCCTACTTCCCCTCTGGTAAGGCCTGCTCCGCTGTGGATGCATTAGGTACTGGGGTGACAGCAATGAGCAGAGCAGGGTCCCTGAGACCCCGGAGCGGAGAGGAACCAGGGATAAGTATATAAAATCAATAGCAGCTGGGGAGAAAAGCTAAGGAGAAAAAGGGTTTTCCGTAGGGTGGTTGGGGAGACCTCCAGGAGAAGATAACACTTAAATGAAGATCTGAAGGAGGAGAGGGAGTCACGGAGCTATCTGGGGAAGGTGTCCTGGGCAGAGGGACCAGCCAGTGCAAAGGTCCTGTGGTGAGAGTGGACGTACTTGGTGTAGTCCAAGGATTGGACCGAGGGCTCCTAGCCAGAGCAGAATGAGTGGCGGCGAGGTGAGAGATGAAGGCAGATAGTAAGGACTGTGGCTCTTCTCTGAGTAGGTGGGCACCATAGGTGGGTTCTGAGCAGGGGAGGTGATAGGATCAGTGACACCATGTGAAGCTGTGACGCGTGGAAAGTGAACTTCACTGGCGGCTGCGACCTGAAGGGAACAGGGAAGCCGTGGAAGGAAAAAACAAACTTTGGAGTTAGGCTGGGATCCTGTCTGGACCCCATCGGACATTACCTGGGACGGGCATCCAGGAGAGAGATGCCTTCTGGCTGGAGCAATCAGGGAGGGCTTCCTGGAAGGAGGGGCCATGCAGAACGCCGACAGCTTTGCGCAGCTGCGAGGAGGATGCTGAGCTCCTAGCTGGAACAATCCACGGTGAACGTGCCCAGCTGTTCGAGGTTTTTAGCGAAGATCTGTGCTGAGCCCGGGAGCCTGGGAGGCTCCCAGTAGGTGTCCCTTTACCAACGGTCCCAGACATGTTCCCTTCGTGTATTCTTCATTGTTGCTGTTGAGAGTATCACAGATGTCCCCCGTTTCCCCCTCTGCTCCCTCACTCCGTGTACTTTTCGTATTCTCCTTTCTGTCGGTACTCTTCGTAGTGGAAAGAGCCTGGACGTTGGTGTCCGATGACGCGGTTAAATCTCTGAGCCTCGGAAGCCTCATCCTTAGAATGGGTGAACAGTGCCAGCTCACAGGGCTGTTGTGAGGGCCGCAGTGCCCGGCACTGGCATACTGTAACCCCCCGGCCAGGTTAGCTCCCAGGACCTTAGCGGAGCGTGTAGTCATCGCGAGTGGGTCCCGAGCCAGGGTCGGCCTGGTCAGAGAACCGTGAAGGCCAACGGCACGCAGCCGGCGCCGCACACGGACTCACTTCATCCCCACGAAGTCCGGACACGTGAGCTGTTGGACTGAACCACATGAAACTGCGGCTGTTCAGTAATCTTTTTTATTCTCAATCCTCACCCGAGGGCATTTTTGCATTTATCTTCAGATAGAGCGGGAGGGAGAGAGAGAGAAAGAGAGAGAGGAAAACATTGACTGGTTGCCACCCGCACGACCCAACCAGAGCCGGGGACAAACTGTAACCGAGGTACATGCCCTTAGTGGGAACCGAACCCGGGTCTCTCTGGACCGCAGGCCGACGCTCTAACCGCTGAGCCAAACCGGCCAGGGCAGACATTTGGTAATCTTATACGGTTCACCCCAATATTGCTATTTTAGGAGGAGGGAACGGAGGGTTTATAACCTAGAGCGCGTTGGTAACTTGTCTGAAGCACAGAGCTCTTCCCTGCGGACCCCATGGGTTGTTTCTTTTTTTCTCATCCTGGTAAGCTTCTTTTGATAGAAAGATCCAGAAAAGAGTTTGGCATCACCCCTCCCCCCTCTCTTCCACCCAGATTTATTCTCCAAACCCAAAACTGGGCCACGCAGCCCGCCAGAGTCTGGGCTGCCCTGGGTGAGAAGCACCGGCAGCACGTCAGATTTCTGGGACACGTCCGTGGTTCCAGAGGATAAAGGGCCGATGGTTATGAAACCGGGAATGGCCTGGAAAATTGGGGCTGAGGCTGGTGGAGCTGACCGAAGGCTGACTGTTCCCGGTGCAGAGGAGGGAAGGCAACGAGTTAGAGGGGAGGACTGTGGGTTGTGGGGATCCAAATCCCAGTCCCCCCCTGGCTGTGTGACCCCGGACAAGTGCCTTCCCCTCTCTGGGCCTCCAGCGACCGATGGAGATACTGACACCTCCCTGCAAGGCTATCGGCAGCATCGGCACAGATATACTGGAGGGGCTTGGAGCAGAGCTTGGTACACAGTAGGCGCTCAGTCCACAGTGACTTGGACCATCATTGTCACAAGGAGGACAGACTTGCACTCCATCTGAATCGGGGGGTTTGCCAGGTGGGGAAGGGGGCATGGGGCCTTCCCAGCAGCCTCGTGCCAAGGGCTGCAGGGAGCAAAGTGCAGGGATGGTGAGTCCCAGGAGGAGGGGGTGGGAGCACCCAGGAAGGGTGTCTTGAAAGCCAGGCCTGGTGACTGGAACTCTTGTCTCGGGGCACTAGGGAGCCACAGGAGGGCTGGGAGCAGGCTCAGATTCCTTCCTTGCCTGGGGGACTAGAGGCAGGGAGGCCAGGGAGGAGGCCAGGGCAAGAGTCTATAGGGAGAGAATTAGGCCTGGCCAGGCCTGTAGGGACACAGAAGGGGCATGACAGCGGGAGTGAAGGGCAGAGGGACAGGGCTGATGACTGGCGGGCATGCGGGGGAAGGGAAGGAGGGGTGAGGCTGTCTGGCTCTGTGATGTGCGACCGACCAACCCTCTGGGCTGTTCTGGTATGGGGACCTGGGGGAGGAGCAGGTAGGAGGCACAGACTGGCTGACGTCCAGTTTCTAACCTGAAGGAGGGTGATTCTACATAAGGTGCTGAACTGACCTCTGCCCCCTGCTGTGACCTCTGACCCAGCCTCTCCCCTTCCCTCCCACCCACGGAACCTGCCAAAATCCCAAACTGTACAAACCCTCAGAGGCCAGAGCCCAACCCCTTGGCTTGCAGGTGGGGAAACTGAGGCACAGAGGTGGCGTCACCCAGACAAGTCTGGGTTGGGACTCCAACATCCAAATTCTGGGTCTGGTGCTCCTTCCTTGCCTGGGTCCCCTCTCTCCACTGCCCCGCCCTCCCCTGGCCCCCCTGACCCCTCTTTCCTGCCCCCAGGACCTCCGGGGCTCCGTGCAGCGCGTCTGCCAGTTCCTGGGCCGGCAGCTGGGCGAAGAGGCGCTGGGCTCCGTGGTGGCGAACTCTTCCTTCGATGCCATGAAGGCCAACACCATGTCCAACTTCACACTGTTGCCCCCCAGCCTGCTGGACCAGCGCCGCGGCGCCTTCCTCCGGAAAGGTACAGGACCTCGGCTTCCAAGCCTCCTAGGCCACTGCCGGGCTGTGTGGCTCGGGCGAGTTACTTAACCTCTCTGGGCCTCAGTTTCCCCAGCTATAATCTGGGGGTGCTCCGAACAGAACTGCCTTCACAACATCACTGTGGACCCAGAACTGACTCCACACACAGGGCTTAACATAGGGCCTGGACACAGCAGGTGCTGGGGGGGAGGGGAGGCCCATCACCGGAGGCCTCCCCTCTCCCCCCAGTTGCAAGTGGGAACAAACGGCCAGCTCTGAACCATAAGAGGCTATTTATTTATTCCCCCCCCCTTTTCTTTTTATCCTCACCCGAGGACATTTTTGCATTTATCTTCAGCTAGAGCAGGAAGGAAGGAGAGAGGGAAGGAGAGAGAGAGGGAAGCATCATTGTGAGAGAGACACATCGAGTGGTTGCCACCCACAGGACCCCAACCGGGGCCAGGAACAAACCACAACCAAGGTACGTGCCCCCAGCGGGAACCAAACCCGGGACTCTCTGGTCTGCGGGCCAAATCTCCCAAACGCTGAGCCAAACCAGCCAGGGCATTTTTATTATGTTTTTAAATCCTCGCCTGAGGACATGTTTTTATTGATTTTAGAAAGAGAGGAAGGGAGAGGAACAGAGAGAGAGAACATCAATGTGAGAGAGAAACATTGATCCATTGCCTCCCATACACACCCACAACATAGGTATGTGCCCTGACTGGGAATCGAACCCGCAACCTTTTGGTGCACAGGACAACGCTCCAAACAACGGCACCACCCAGCCAGGGCGCTAGGAGGCTATTTAAACATTCCCGTGCAGCATTCCAGGGTTAGGGTGGGAGTGTGTGAGTTTCCTGTAGCTGCTGAAACAAAATACCACCAACTTAGTGGCTTAAAACAACACACATGTATTCTCTCGTGGTTCTGGAGGTCAGACATCCGGAATCGGTTCTCGCTGGGCTGAAACCAAAATGTCAGGAGGCCCCTGTTCCGTCTGGAGGTGCTGGAGCAGAAGGGTACCCCGCCTTTCCAGGTTCCGGCCCTGCCTGCTGCCTTGGCCCCTGGCCCCTTCCCTGCATCTCCAAAGCCAGCAGCGTAGCATCTTCTCTGAGTCTGACCCTCCTGCCTCCTCTTACAAGGACTCTTGTCATTTCATGGGGCCCACCTGGATACTCCAGGATCATCTCCCCCCTCTCAAGATCTTTAACGTAATCATAGCTACAAAGCCCCTTTTGCCACAAAAGTTCACCCAGAAGCGGGAAAGAGGGTGCTGGGGTGCTGGGGCGATGTTCCTCATCGGGCACAACCTCCCTCCCGCCAGGGGTCTGCGGAGACTGGAAGAATCACTTCACGGTGGCGCAGAGCGAAGCCTTCGACCGCGTCTACCGCGAGCAGATGCGGGGCATGCCGACCTTCCCCTGGGACGAGGACCCCGAGGATGCCAGTCCGGACCCCGACCCCAGCCCCAGCCCCGGCCAGGCCTCCGAGCACCCCCATCAGTGACCCTGAGAATAAACGCATCGCTCCTGCCTGTGCTCCTCGATGTGCTATGGAGGTGGCGTGCCTCCGGCGGGCGGCAGGGGGCGCGCGCGAGGGCAGGCTGAGGCGGGGTGGGGTCCCTCGCCTCGCACCAGGGCCTACAGGGGGCCGTGCCCTCCTCCCCACCTGGCACGCCAGCGGGGTCGGTGACGGAGAAGCCCCACAGCGTGGGGCACCTGACTTCCCCAGGGCTGGGGTGCTGCAGCCAGGACTCCTGGGTCCTTAGGGAGGAGGGGCTGGGGACCAGGACCCCTGGGTCTGAGGGAGGAGGGGCTGAGGCTGGACCCCTGGGTCTGAGGGAGGAGGGCTGGGGACCAGGACGCCTGGGTCTGAGGGAGGAGGGGCTGGGAGCCTGGGCTCCTGGGTCTGAGGGAGGAGGGGCTGAGGCTGGACCCCTGGGTCTGAGGGAGGAGGGGCTGGGAGCCTGGGCTCCTGGGTCTGAGGGAGGAGGAGCTGAGGCTGGACCCCTGGGTCTGAGGGAGGAGGGGCTGGGGGCCTGGACCCCTGGGTCTGAGGGAGGAGGGGCTGAGGCTGGACCCCTGGGTCTGAGGGAGGAGGGGCTGGGGGCCTGGACCCCTGGGTCTGAGGGAGGAGAGGCTGGGGGCCTGGACTCCTGGGTCTGAGGGAGGAGAGGCTGGGGGCCTGGACCCCTGGGTCTGAGGGAGGAGAGGCTGGGGGCCTGGACCCCTGGGTCTGAGGGAGGAGGGGCTGGGGGCCTGGACCCCTGGGTCTGAGGGAGGAGGGGCTGGGGGCCTGGACTCCTGGGTCTGAGGGAGGAGGGGCTGAGGCTGGACCCCTGGGTCTGAAGGAGGAGGGCTGGGGGCCTGGACTCCTGGGTCTGAGGGAGGAGGGGCTGAGGCTGGACCCGAGTCTCCCACTAGGCTGTGGAAAATCCAAGTTTCTGTCATGAAGCAGGTTTATTCTGAGCAAAGGTAAAAGGGAGACCCAACGACTCACGCCCGAGCACCTACAAAACCATCCCAGCACCTGCCCAGTCCCTCTCCAGGGCTCTGAGCCGCTCCCCAGCAGGTGTGTCCCCACCGATTTCGGGTCCCTCGTTATTCAGCCCAGCTCCCTCGATTGGGGTCTCTCCTCCCCTTGGCCAAGCTCAGTTTACCCTACTCCTGAGCACGTGGGTCCCAGGGACCCCCTTCTTCACCTCACACAACCCAGCGTGGGGGCCCCTCAGTTCTGACGTGACCGCAGTGGGACGTGTGCTGTTCCATGACTCCGGCTCACTGCGACGTTCTGTCCATTTTCTAGACGGTGCCAGTGAGGTCTAGAGTGGGCATGGGATTTGCCCAAGTTCTGGAATAAGTCGAAAAAAATCCCTTCTGCTTCTCAGACTCTGAGGCCACAGGCACACCAGGCCGGGGCCCTGAGCAGACGGTCCTCCAACTCTCCTGGGCTGGGCTTCCGTCAGGGTCGCCCCCTGAGTCCTGCCTGGGTGGCCCAGTCTGGCTGCCGACCACCTCTGGGCCCCAGGGGTTTGGGTGCAGCATCACCAAACCTTCTTCGCGTTGGGGACAGGTAGCGAAAGCGGCGGGAAGGGCCGAGGGGCAGGGGGCTGCCCCAGGGCTGGAGCCCGGCCAGCGGGCGGGAGTCCGCCTCGCCCCTGGGGGTGCCCCCAGTGCCCCGCTGCCGCATCAGGGCCTTGGCTGGGGTGTCCTTGGAGTCCCAGGACTTCTTGAGCTGTGGAGGGAAAGAGAAGGAGGTGAGACCAGGCTCCTGGGGGCTGAGCCCGGGGGAGGGAGACAGACAATGAAAGCGGGAGGAGGTGAGACAGGAGGAGATGACACAGAAGGGGGAGGTCAGGGAAGGGGCTCCGGAAACTGAGGGGAGGGGAGAAGGCCCTTGAGCTGCAGAACCAAGAGGGAGGTGAGCGGGGAGGCCTGGGGACTCCGGACCTCCAGGAGGTGCCCCCCCTGCACCTTTGCAGCTGGGGAGGAACCGGAAGCAGCCAGCAGCCGCCTGGGTGGGGGCAGCAAATATTTGCCAAGGGAGGTGATGCTGGGTGAGGACGGCTGGGGACCAGGTGGAGGCGAGGACCTTGGCCCTGTCCCGCCCATCCCCCTTCTCCCTGGGTCTGAGGGAAGCAATTCCTGGGATATTTTCTCCCTCACCCTCAGGACCGGCCTCTAGTTCCCCCTTAGCAGATGAGGAAACGGAGGCTTAGAGGGGGCACAGCTCTCAGAGATCCTGCCCCCCAGGGTCAGCCTGCATCCAGAGCAAGTCTGCCTGCTTCTCCCTGGAGAAACCACCCTCTTAACAGCCCACTTTACAGGACGCTGAGCCCCTCCAGGGCTCCCCAGAAAATTGGGGCAGGCCCTGCTGAAAACCCAGTGTCTAAGCAGCTGCGGAGAGAGGGGTCCCCTCTGAGCTCATGACACTTGAATCTGGGAAGCCGGGGCACAGGGAATTTCAAAGCCCCACCTGGGAGGCAACCAGGGCTCAGTTCCAGTCCTCCCTGGTGCCTCAGTTTCCCCATCTGTGAAATGGATGGGTGGAGAGATGTAATAACATCCACTTCCTGGGATTGTGGCAAAGGTCAGATTTAACCACTTTTGTGAAAGCGCTTGGCACGGGGCCTGGCACGTGGGAAGGTGCCTGCAGGAGGCCACTGTTTCGACCTTGACAAGTTCCTTAACCTCTCTGAGCCTCGACTTTCCCGTTCCCCAAAAGTGAGCATGATAGCCCTGGCCGGTTTGGCTCAGCGGTTGGAGCGTCGGCCTGCGGTCCAGAGAGACCCGGGTTCAGTTCCCGCTAAGGGCATGTGCCTCGGTTGCAGTTTGTCCCCGGCCCTGGTTGGGTTGTATGGGTGGCAGCCACTCGATGTGTCCCTTTCACGTCGATGTTTCTCTCTCTCTCTCTCTTCCTCTCTCTCCCTCCCGCTCTATCTGAACAAAAAATGGAAAAGTGTCCTCGGGTGAGGATAAAAAAAAAAAAGTGAACATGATAAACGTCTCTCCTCACTGACCCGGGATGAGGATGTCATGAAATAAATTCCACTGGGGGAATTGATTATATGAACGATTATTATTCTATTCATTCTATTGACTCCTCCCTCCCCCCAAACAAACTGAGGATGAAGCCACCGCTCAGTCCACTTCCTAGATGAGAACATGGAGATTCAGAGAAGGTGAATCCCTTCTCACAATTGGTGTACTGTGGCAGGATTCACACCCAGGGCTCTCGGGTCTCTGCTTCATGCCACCCAGCCCAGCACACAGTGTGGGAACAGGAAGCAGGTGGTGTGATTAGAAGCAGCTCAGCTTCCCCGCCTCCCCAGGGCAGGACAGAGGAAGCCCTCAGAAAACAGAGCAGGGCCTTTGGACCCAACCGTGCGACCTTGGACAAGTGCCGTCCCCTTTCTGGGCCTCAGCTGCCTCCATCCTCCTCCAACCACCAGGTCTCACCTCGTTGTCACCGTCACTGGAGTCCGACAGTTGGGACAGGCGGCTCAGGTCCCATAGGGATCGGCTGGGCCGAGCCGGAGGGCCACTGGGGGTCCGGGCGCGTTGGATGCTCCTCAGGATGTCACTAAGTGCAGGTCCTGGGATGGCCTGGGTCTCCTTCCTGTCTCTGTCGAAGACGCGGCAGGTGGCCAGGCGCTGGGCCAGCGGTGACACGTCAGGCAGCGGCGGTGACACGGGAGCCACGGAGTGGCGGTGGGCCACGCTGTGCGGGCTGCGGGCCAGCTGCGGCACCCCCTGGCTGCTGACGAAGGGGCCTGGGGTGGGCGCAGGGGGGAGCGGCCAGGAGGCCGCGTACAGCGTCCGGAACTCGCGGCTGAAGGCATCGGCGATCTCGCCGGTCAGCAGGGTCACCAGGCCACGGTGCAGGCGTGAGTCACTCCACGTGAAGCTGGGTGGCACAGTGAGGAGGGTCAGGACCTCCATACAGCCCTCAGAGGCCCAGCCTGGCCCCATCACCATCCCCAACCTGTCACCGAGCACGTTGTGTGACTGTGACTTCAGGAAAATCCTGCCACCCTCTGGACTCAACATCGCCCTCTGTAGAATGGGGACCACCAAGGTGCCTGTCCCATGAGGACAACACGTTAAAATACTAGACTCAGACTTGAGTTTAAACCTGGGCTCTGCCCGTTCCCATTGAGTGATGCCTCAGTTTCTCCCTTTGAAAAGAGATGGGGTTCGTTTTCTGACACCCATGGGGACTGTTTTGAGACTCAGCGACTTCCTCTAATGACCCCATTTGTTAAGCACTCGCGGTGTGCCCAGCTCTGGCCGTGCCTGCTCCGTGTGCTTGTCTCTCATCTGAGAGACGGAGGTCACACATAGCAAGATTCGAATGAGCGCTGGCCAGTTTGGCTCAGCGGTTAGAGCATCGGCCTCCGGTCCAGAGAGACCCAAGTTTGGTTCCCGCTAAGGGCACGTGCCTCAGTTGCAGTTTGTCCCCGGCCCCGGTTGGAGTTGTGTGGATGGTGACTACTTGATGTGTCTCTCTCACATTGATGTTCCCCCCCCACCCCCATGCTCTATCTGAAGATACATGCAAAAATAACCTGGGATGAGGATGAGGATGAGGAAGGAAGGAAGGAAGGAAGGAAGGAAGGAAGGAAGGAAAGGAAGGAAGAAAGAAAGAAAGAAAGAAAGAAAGAAAGAAAGAAAGAAAGAAAGAAAGAAAGAAAGAAAGAAAGAAAGAAAGAAAGAAAGGAAGAAAGAAAGAAAGAAAGAAAGAAAAGATTCAGCCCTGGCCGGTTTGGCTCAGCGGTTAGAGCCTCGGCCTGCGGTCCAGAGAGACCCGGATTCGGTTCCCGCTAAGGGCATGAACCTCGGTTGCAGTTTGTCCCCGGCCCTGGTTGGTCGTGCGGGTGGCAGCCACTCAATGTGTCCCTTTCACATCGATGTTTCTCTCTCTCTCTCTTTCTCTCCCTCTCTCTCCTTCTCACTCTATCTGAACAAAAATTGGAAAAATGTCCTCGAGTGAGGATAAAAAAAAAGAAAGATTTGAAGGAGAGAAGACAGGTCGAGCTCCCAGCTCGTGCCCAGCGCTAGAAGCCCACGACCTGTGGGAGCCGCACGCCCGTCCGAGTCCTGTCCTCCCGGCGGCTGCATTGAAAGCATCCGGCCCTGGTATTTGGCCCGGCAGGGGCTCAGCAAATGCCCTCTTTGGAATGAACTAAACCTGGGCTCTGATCCCACCTCGAGGGCCCTGGACACGTCACTTCGTCCTCCAGAGCCTTGGTTTGCCATCTGAAAAACGACTCCCCTTGTGGGCACTCGGCAGGCGCGGCACCCAGCACCCAGCAGAGCCGACATAGTGGCCAGGATGGCAAGCATGGGGCCGGGTGTTCTTACCTGGACAGGGTGTCCATGTCCTAGCTCCCTGGCAGGTCAGCGGGCCAACCTGCCCCTCCGATTGTGACACCCCTCCCCCACCTATGACCTCACCCCCCGAGTGGCCAGTGGCAACCCCGAGGGGTCTGTGAGGTCATCCCATTCTGCTCCACAAAGACTCCCGTCCGGCAGCAGCCCCTGCTTTGTCTCTGTCCCGGGCAGCTTCTGAGACCCTGGGACTCAGGAGCCGTGGTCACGGCGAAGCTCCGAAGAGAGACGCGAGCGTTGGGAACCAAGGACCCTCCAAGTTCCGGCCCCAGGGAGGCCAGAGCCAGGGACAGAAGTCTTGTGGGTCAGCGAGTGTCATTCAGCAGTTCCGGGAGGCCCCAGAAGCCCACGGCCTGGTGCGGGCACTGTCCCCGCTGCCAAGCCACCATGGTCCTCGGCTGGCTCCTGCTCCTGGTGGCGGCTCTGCCCCGGGGCACGACAGGCGTCAAGAGCTGCATGTTCTGTGAGCTGACCGACTCGTCACACTGCCCCGGCTTCCCCATGAACTGCGGCGACGAGGAGGAGTGCTTCATGGGCAAGGGGACGGCCCCCGGCCTCGGCCCCGTCATCAACAAAGGCTGCATCCGGGCCACGCAGTGTGGCGGCGAGGAGCCTGTCACCTACCAGGGCGTCACCTACAGCCTCATCTCCACCTGCTGCTACGGCCAGCTGTGTAACAGGGCCGCCACCCGCACAGGCAGCTGGATGACGGGGGCCACCGCCGGCCTGGTGCTGGGCTTGTTCCTGCTTCACTGACCGCAACCAGCTTGGAGGGCAGGGCCAGGGACTGGTCCCTGTGCCCCTGCCTCCTCCCCCTTCCCTCATTAAATGGCCAGAGGCCCTAGACAACCCCTTGTGGCCCTGGCTTCATCCATTCGGGGGCGGTGGAGCTCAAGCGAAGCGCCCTGAGGCCTGAGTTAGTGGAGGGGCCGTGCCCCGTGGGGCTGACAGCACGACTGTGTTTCATTGGTTCTCAGACACACTCTCTTTCCACATTTTGATCAGGGTGCCTCCTTTCATTGGTGGTACCTTAGAGTCGGTGAAATCTGGTAACGAGAACATTCGTCAACAACAGCCCATGTCTACGGAGCGCTTATGTTACGTGCCGGGGGACCACTCTCTTGCTGAACCCTCTCGCGAAGCTGGGAAGGTGGATTCTCTCTGGAACATTTCCCTCCTGACCCTGGAGGTTCACAAGGTGGGGTCCCGGGACCGGCCGCAGCAGTATCCACCCTGCCGGGAACTTGCCAGAAATGCCCATCTTCGGTCCCCGTCCCAGCCCGGCTGAATGAGGAGGGGCCCAGAAATCTGTGTTTTAGGGAGTCCTCTGGGTCATTCTGATACATGCTCAAGGCTGGAAACCACCGGGGTGGGGCAATGGGGCACTCCTGCCCCTGGGTGGGGGCGGCAATGTCTGGAGAGGTGTTGGGTTGTCATAACGGGAAGGGATGCTACCAACATCTACCAGGTAGAGGCCAGGGATGCAGTCGGCACCCTACGATGCCCAGGAAAGCCCCTCAGTCAGCCATCGGCCCCAGAGGTGAGTGGTACCTCTGTGTGAACCCTTGCTCTGCGGTCCATCCTGTACCATCCCGGGCTGCATGGGGCACACAGAGAAGTCAGTTGCCCAGAGTCACTCAGCCAGTCACTGGCAGAGCTAGGACTTGAACTGAGGCCATCTGAGCCCAGATCCCCACTCCCGGCCCCCCATGCTGTGGCCCATGAGGTGGGTGCTCCCTGATCACACCTTCCAGGAGAGGAAACAGGCTGAGAGCGTGTCCCACAGCTAAGAATTTGCAGGGCCAGGGCCCAGGGTTGGTCGGACCTCAGAGCAGAGGAGGGACAGCAGACGGTCTGGGGACTGGGCCATCAGGACACCGGGTCGCACTTCTTCCCGGACACTCCGCTCTGACAGGTGACGGTACTCGCCTCAGGCAGAGCTGGGTCTCCATCCAGGTCTTCTTGGTTTTGAAAGACTCACACACAAACGGCGGGCCCGCTCCTCCAGATGAGGAAACCGGTCGGAGAGAAGACTTATTATCCAGGCCACTAAACGGGCCAGCAGCAGGGCCAGGGCCGGCCCCAGGCAGAACTGTCCCCAACCCGGAGCCTGTTCTGCGGATGACACATCCTCTCCGGGTGGTGTTCAGACCCATTTCACAGATGAGGAATGAGAGGCTGGAAAGGGGATCCAACTGTGCCCTGAGCACGCTGAGGGAGACGTGGGGACAGGGTACGGGCCGTGTGGAGGGGACTGTACCTGTAGGATCCCGAGATGACCCTGTCACCATCCAGCAGCACAAACTTCTCCTGCATCCGGCCGGTCACCTGCCATCGCCAGCGGCTCTGGAAGGTGCAGCCCCTCACGACGCGGATGTCCAGGTTCTGGGAGAGAGGGGACCCATCCTTGCTCAGGCTGACCTCACAGACCTCTATCTGGGGTCCCTCTAGGCTATTCCTAGCTGGGGGACCCATAACTTTGTAGAACAGCGGCTCCTAACCTGTGGGTCGTGACCCCTCTGGGGGTCGAATGACCCTTTTACAGAGGTCGCCTGAGACATAACAGTAGCAAAAGTACAGTTATGAAGTAGCAACGAAAATAATTTTATGGTTGGGGTCACAGCATGAGGAACTGTATTAAAGGGTCGCGGCATTAGGAAGGTTGAGAACCACTGTGGTAGAGTCTGTCCCAGCTTCTCCAGAGACAACAATCTGGGGCCTCAGGGGCCTCTTGGAGATTCCCCCAACTCAGAGGGACCCCTGTGGGGAGGCCCCTGCTTCCCACAATGCCATGGGCATCAGATCTCAGGGGACCCTATGAGCTGGCACCAACCTCGCTGACCCCGTGGAAGGGTCTGCCCCCAGAACCAGGGGAATGGGGGCTCAGAGAGCCCCTCAGCCAGGCCCCTACCTCAGTGGCCCAGGGGTTCACCCCCAGCCGTTGGGCCAGCGTCAGGAAGGCAGGCAACTGCTGGCCATCCAGGAGCAGGTACACGGGCACCCAGCGACGTGTGGCAGCGTCCACCAGGTCCAGAAGCAGGTCCGGGTCAGTGAATATGTCCATGACGATGGCCACCAGCTGAGGGTGGGGAGAGGGGCTGTGGACAGAGCCTGGAACTTGGGGAACACGCAGAGGTGGGGCCCTGATGGCGAGATGCTCGGGGCTGAGAGTGTAAGGGCCGGGCCTCTGTGGGTTGTTCACACGGCGTCTGCGTGTCAACGAGAAGGAGACGGTCCGTCCTGGAGACCCCGGCCTCTAACAGCCACAGAACCGTCATCCATCACGTTGACGAGGGTGAATGGCATCCCCCGAGCTGTGACATTACATGGTGGCCCTGCTCCAGGGGGCAGGGGGCTGGACGCCTCTGCAGTGCACTGTGGGAAACTGCACACCTGGGTCCTCAGCGGTGCCCTGGGTGCCAGGGGTCAGGGGAGGGCTGACCTGCTAGGTCACCCAGGGGAGCTCTGGGGGTTGGGGGGCTGCCGAGGGCCTGGGCTTGCAGGCAGGGAAGGTGGTACTGATAAGCCCCGACTCACCGGTCAGACAGCCTTGGTTCAAGTCTCTACTTGGCCACTTCAGGCCAGAGACTCAACCTTCCATGCCTCAGTTTTCCTATCTCCTAAATGGGCATAATAAGTCCCAATTCCCACATAGTAAGCCCTTGTGAGAATTCCACAGTAACCCAGGTCAAGTCCTTGGTGTGGGAGCTGGTAAACACAAAACCTATTCAATTAGAACAGGCTGGCCAGGAAGGCTGCAGGGGAGACCCTGGGCCCTCCCTGGGGATGGAGCTACCACCCTGGTGAGGGTGGAGAGGAGTAGATGACAGACAGGGGGTGTCATAATTAGGTCTAAGGGGTATGGATGCCTCAGGGAACCCAGATCTTGGGGAGAGGATTGGGAACCTCATATCTAAGAGGGTGAAGATGAGGTCTGGGGGGTGCGGACTCTTGGGTCCAGGGGTATGGACTCGAAAGTCCCAGGAGGGCCTGGGTGAGGATGCCCTGGGACCAGGGGATGTGCACCCCCAGGTCCAGGAGGTGGCACGTAAGGACATCCGGGTCTGGGGAATGTGGACACCAGGCCCCCAAGGCCCTGCCCCCACCTTGCAGGCGGCCTGGATTTCCTGGTGCATCAGCTCCTTGAGGGGCGGATGGCCCTCACTAGGCGGCTGGGTGTATAGCTGCGCCCGGGTGATGCCCTTCCAGCCCGAGTCCTCCGGCCAGCCCAGCCGCAGCACGGGCACTGGCTCCTCCGACTGTCCAGGCCAGTAGGTCAGGCTGCCAGAGTCCCCACTGGTGACGGTGGCTCTTTCTGCTCTGCTGGGCTCCTGCTTGGCTGCTGTCCAGTCCTCAGCCGCCGCGACCAGGCCCTGGAGCTCATCCCCACTCAGGAAGGGCCGCAGCCTCTCCTGCTGCACGAAGGCCTCGAACGCCTCTGCACCGCTACTCAGCAGAGCCTCGAGCGCCAGCCGCTGGCCCTCGGAATACAGGAAGCCAGGGCTGGTCTCCGCCAGGGGCAGCCCCTCGGCCCCTGACTCCGCTCCTTCCAGTGCTGCAAGCTGGGAGGCCGCCATCGGACTGGGTGTTCGAGGGTTTGGCTGTCTCTGAGGCACCGACCATCTGGGGCTCTCCTGATAGGCAGACCCTACGCAAGCCTTCCAGGGCAGCCCCTGCCCTGTCCCTGGCTCACTGTCCCGACAATCAGACTACCCAAATGACTGACCACCCAATGCTGCTCAGACCAACTACCTGTCAGCCTTCAGCCACTCTGACCAGAAGGCCCTCTGATCTCCCTGCTAGTTGTCTCTGATCTGGCTGACCCCACAACTGGCCCCGCATGTGGGTGAGGCTGACCACTGGCACTGTCTCCAAACTCTGACCCGTCAGCTGCCCATCTCTGCTCCAGCACACGACAACCTCCGGCCTGCTGGCCACACGACACACCAACTGACTCTCCGACTGGCTCAGGCTTGGTCGGGCTGATCACTTACTATTCCCGGCCAAAGGTCCACTGACTGCCTAATCACCTCTAGCCAACAGGCTGCCTGCCTGTCTGCGACTGCCGGAATGTCCCTCACCAAAGGGAGAACAGGCTTCCCGTTTGCCCCCCGCCAACAGCACGTCTACCTGATCCTCTCTGGCTGTCTCTTCGATTGGCTGGAGGATGTCGATTGCTTCCGGCCAACAGTCTCAGTATTTGACCACCCAGTGGAACTCCCAGCTGTGTGCAGTGGATGTTTCTCCCAACAACCGGCCAGCTAGCTCACCAGCTTTTACTGGCTGACCATCCTGGGCGCCTCCTCTCTGAGCCTTGGAGACATATACTCCGGCCCTCAGCATCACCCTTCCCCAGCCAGGGAACCAGGTCTCCTCTGCGGATGGAGGACCCTGCTCACGGGCCCTTGCACCCTCTCGGGCTGTTACAGCGGCAGATGCGCTCCACGGGGGCATCCATTACCTTGGACCTGGCCCATGATCTCCACAGACCATTTAGGATGACTAATTGGCCATCATTCGTGGGACCGGCTGACCCTGCCTGTGCCCCAGGACTGCTCTCTGATCTACGCTGATCCCTGGCTGAGCTGACCTGTCTTTTCCACCTCAATTCCACAATCTCCTGCTAGCTGACTACATACTCATTCCTAATGGACAAAAACCACTCTCGTTTGAGGCTCCTGACCCAACGCGACTGTGGACCCTATCTGTGCAATGCCTGCCTTTCAATCCCAGCGCCCAGGCGCTCCCTTCCTCCAGGGCACAGCAACTAGCCCTGCAAGGAGAAAGGAAAGAAATAAAGCCAGGTCCCCTCTCCCCCCTGGCCAGACAGCTCTCCATCCCCTCCCCCTCCTCTTGCCTTTTCCGGAGGACAGTATAATCCGGGTCTTCAGACCCGAGTTTATTTCTGCGGCTCTTCCGGCAGACTGGCCTCATTCATCAGACTCACCCTGGGATCCTGAGAACCCAGCCTCTTGTGCAAACACAGGGGAGGTTCCCACACAGGTCCCCAGGGGAGGTCTGGGGTGTGGGGCCCAGGGTACGAGGTCCCAAGCCTGAGGCCAGAGGCCTGCCGGACTCGGGTTTCGTGCGAGGGGGAGTACCTCACCTGCTCCGACACCCCTTCCCCACCGCAGCCCTCCTCATCCACACTCCCCTGTCCAAGCCCCGCCCAACATCTCTGGTGCTGGGGAGGGACGCACGGGTCCTTTAAGAGGAAAGGGTGTGGCTAATCCCAGGAAGCAGGTGTGGGAACACCTGACACCCGGGCTTTCGGGAAGGAGGCAGGCTTCCACAGTAGTGGTGGCAAGGGTCCAGTAGGTGCGGCGGCCGAAGAGCAGCGCGCACACAGGCCCGGACCACCAGAGGGCACCTGCAGCCTGAGGCGGAAGCTGTGATGGGCAGACACCTGGGATGCTCTCCATGGAGACCGCGTGGTGTCCCAATTCCCCCAAACAAATGCCTTCTGGCCCACTGGCTACCCTCCCAACCCCTTCTATCCCCCAATAATACACAGGGTCAGCATCCAAAATCTTTTTAATAACAAGACAGGATCTGGGATTAGTTTTTGTAGCCGCGGCTGGCCCGCCGGCCTCTGGCACGCTCGAACTTCCGGCCCTTGGATCGCACGTAGGGTCTGCGAGGAAGAGAAAGTTACATGAGGATGGAGTCAGGGCCCCACTGGGAGCTGGGGACTCTCAGAGAGCAGCACAGGAACACCAGAAGGGTCAGCGGTGATACCAAGCGGGCTGCTGGAAAAGCCTGGCCGTGCAGAAAGCCAACATGGCAAGAGTGGCTGGCAAAGTCAGCACCAGGCCCCGGGGGTCAGTCTGAGTGCCCAGAGGCTGGGAGATGCCAACTGGGGCTAAAACAGAGCCTGCACCTGTAACTCGCTACACAGGAAGCTCAACACGAGGGAGCACAGCTTTGTAGGTATGAGAGGTGGGAGGCCTGAGGCTGGACTTGTGTGAGACAGAAGCAGCTGGAGGCACGGCCAGGCCTAGCCCTGCACCGTGGGGTCTGCGGGACAGTCAGGACGGGCATACTCACTTGGTGTGGCTGTGAGGGGTCCCTGGGGCCTTGCCAAAATGCCGGTACACCTCTCGGCCCTTGCGAGGACCTAGGCAAGGGAAGGAAGGGATGGATCAAACAGAAACCCAGCACCCAGAATCCCTGCAAGGAGCTACTCCCCGGGGCTCAGGCTGATTGGGAGGATGGGGTGAAGGGTAGTCCCTGACCTCCCAGACCTGGGTACAGACTCTCAGCAGTCACAGCTCACACCCCTCCCTCACACTGGGACCCAGCCCCACCACGGGAGACTAGGCACCACTCACCAGAAAGCAGGACGGTGCCACAGCCCTTCGGTGAGTCCAGGGCCAGCTGGTCAAAGGTGAGGATCTTGCCCCCAGCCTTGAGGATGCGGCTTCGGGCACGGCTGCTCACACGAAGTGCACACACCTAGGGGACACAGAGGACAAGTCTGGTCAGAGTCCCCTGTGTGGCCACTCAGGGACTGCGGGGACTTACTGTTCACTGCCCCAGTCCAACGGAGAAGTCCTGGCTGCTTGCTCGGCCTTAAAATTAACTCCTATTAGAAGGAGCGCCCTAAGCCAACAGCGACTGCATTCACTTTACTCCTATAAACTCCTTGAAGATTTTAACAACTCAGTCGTTACATGTAAGGAAACTGAGGCACAGTTAGGACTTTGTCCAGAGGTGTCAAAGTGGCAGAGAAATCTAGACTCAAACCCAGGCTGTCTGGCTCAAGAGCCAGCACTGTCAACAGGGTCCCAGAGGGGCTTGCCCAGGGACATCACCATCAATAATGCCAGTGACAAGCCCCCTTCCCAAAAGCCACCTGGCAGGTGTGGTGCCTGCCTAACCAAAGAAGGTGGGACTGGGGAGGCAGCATGAGCCCGATGGCACCACAACAGGCAAGGACAAGCCAGGACTCCACCACGGGCCTGCACTCCTGACCCACTCACCTTCAATTTGGGCACCTCCTGGACACGCACGTCGTCAGTTATAGTGCCCACAACCACGGCAGTTTTGCCCTCCCGGCCAGGAAGCTTCATCTTCCGGATCTTTGGGGAAGAAGATGCACAGTAAGCCCCGCTTGGTGTCTAAATCCAGTCCTGCTGCTCAGGCACATCCAAGGACCAGGACAGCTGTACCCTGATTGGGCTAAACCTACCCAGGCCACACCTCTCACTAGCAGAGGCCTAATGCACAGATGTCTCAACAAACTACGTTCCATGACTTGAAGCCTCAGGACAGTCTCATGAGGCCACCGTAACCACCCCCACCTAACAATGAGAAGGAAAACAAGGCCGAGAAGCCAAGCCAGTCAAATTAAACTATAACATGAGGGTCAGAGTTCCAAGCCCACCCTTCCTCACGGAGCCCAGCTCTAGACACAATCCAGCTGCTCCCCAGACTAGCTATGGCCCCTCACCATCCGGGACAGGGACAGAGGAGGCCTGTTGGAGCGACTCATAAACAACCTCTTCAGCACCACTTGGTTGAAGGTGGAATTGGTTCGTCTGGCCAGAAACCTGTATAGCTGGAAGGAAAGGGAGGAGGAAGAATAAGAACCCAGGGTAGACCCTGCTGCCCTCCCTCTCAGCTTTCTAAGGGAGGGACGACAGACGACTCTGGCTTTCCCCTATCCCACTGAGCTCCAGGGAGAGAGCAAGCTAGAGTCCATTCTCATCAGGGCCCCAGAAAACCCCCTCCCAACCCCCCAGCTGTGTACAGCCCAGACGCTAAAACCGGTGGTCCTGACACCGGTCCCAAACTCACCTTGACCAACAGCCTTAGGTAGATGTCCTGGCTCTTGGGCTCCTTGCGCCGAACCTTTCGGTCTTTGTTGTGGCGGATATCGACTCCCTGCAGGGTGAAGGGGAGACCATAGGTTCAACTATCTGGCAGATTCCTCACCCAATAAACGTTCTCAATCATGAATTACCTCCCAAATAAAGCTAGAGCCTGTCTCTGCAGAGAAAACAAATTCCAGGTCCACTTCTGGGAGACATCTGGGAAAATCACTTATAACTCTCTGGACTTCACGTGACCCCTCTGTAAAAAGGGGCTAATTGTACATGCAAAGCCTTCGGGGCATGACACACAGCACCTTGAGTTAGCCACGTTAACTCAATAAAAACTTTCATTTCTTTTTAAGCGGTGTTTTTCAACAATGTATTGAAGTTCTCAGTGCTTGTTCCCACATGCAGAATAACCAAAAAAAACACACCAAGGGCAGAGGCTAAGTGCTGACGAACCTTTATTTAGAACTTTCCCACTTCAGTGCTGAGAAAACTCAGGCAAGCCCACCATTCCCACGACAGCCGGTTTCTGTGGTTTCATTTTCTGACACTGCTATGAACTGTAAAAAGCTACTCAATAGCTCCCATTTAACCAATACTGAACATTTCTAAGAAACGACGGTGAGCACTCCCGACCACTTATTTCCCAAACTCAAATCTGTGACACAGAAGTGCTGTGTTCCCAAGAAACAGACAAAGTTGGGCACAGGGTGAGAAAGGGAGTTCACAGGGTAGGCAGGGAGCCTAGACTCGGAGGCCTGCCCGTCCTAAAACCCGGGCACTGGACGGTCAACAACGCCGGCCCCCCCGCCCCCCATCCAACTTCTCAGGCTGGGGAGTGAGTGACAGGTCGGGGTAAGGGCAGCAAAAGGCAAGAGACTAGGTGGCTGGGGACCAGCGCCTGGGTCCGAATCCTGGCTCAGTCACTTGCTGGCATTTTAACCCCGGTCGTTTTACTTAGTCACCTCGTAACTCAATGTGGGCATCTATTCAACGAGAGCTATACTGGAGAGATGCGGGAGGAGCTGGAGACTGACATGACTGACCCATCCCTGCTCTTCGGATCCCCTAAATAGCACCCCCCACCACGGGAGTCGCCTCCGTAGGACACCCCCGGAATCCCTGCCGCCTTCTGACGCGCCCCCAGCTCGACACCACGGCGGATGGCGGCGGATTGTCGAGCCCGGAACGCTGCAAATCGCACTCACCATGATGGCGCCTTCTGCTTCACCAGGTCCGGAAAGAGAGAACTGAGCCGGGGTGGGCGGGGAAAGCCTTCAGCCAGCGGCGCCTACGTGACGTCACGCTGGCGCGACTCGGGCTTCTCTCTATGGTGAATCGGACGGACTGCTAGATGGGCCTTTCCGGAATAGGGCTGTAGGGGGCGGTGACCAACCAAAGAGGAAAAAGAAAGGGCTTTGTCAAGAAGAGAAGGGCCAGCATGTTGGGGGCCTCTCTGTCCCTACCCGGGCCCTATTCTCGATACTCTTCCGGAAGAAAGGGATCTGGGAGCGAGAGAGATGTCCCGCGGAACTAGGAGGACTTGTCGCGCAGTGACTCTCTGGCCTGAAGCCAGCAGCCTCTCTGTGGCTTCCGGACTGGGCCGACTGAGTGTCGGCGATGAGGAGGCGGGGCAGGAGCGGCCAGTCTGGACCACTGAAAAACCTCGGACTCCACGCTCGGGTCATTTCTTTATCAGGCTGTCTTATCTCGTGCTGGGCTTTCCAGGCGCGGCCGCAGCTCGGCAGTTCCTACTTGAGATCCAATCCGAGATTTCCTGCTTGCAGCCCAGTCTATAGCAGCCTGCATTTTCACCTTTTAGGTTCCGCTGCACCCTCTGCCCCGAGGTGGCCCTTTCCTGACCCCTTCTCAGCCTCTGCCACCTGAGGGCTGCTTTTCTCAGCCAGAGAGATTCACGTGGCCCAGCGGTTTCGTTGTGAGGAATGCGCACGGTATTGGAGCGCAGAAGAGGCACACACTGAGGTCTCGGGTTTGGGGGTGGAGTAGAGAGAGGGGATGGGTAAAAAAAACTATGAGAGGGGAGGAGAGACTTAAAGAAAGGGAGACAGAGATTCAGAGGGGAAAAGGAATGGAGGCCCAGAGGGGTTGTGGACAGCGACCGCTATTGGGGGTTGAAGAGACCTAGAAAGAGGGGGAAGATGGAAATACAGGCACGAGCAGACAGAAATATTCAAATTAAAGTCCTGTCTCTGCTACTTAATAATGGTATTCCTTTGGGCAAATCATTTCACCTCTCTGTGCTTTACTTTCCTTATCTACAGAAAGGGGATAACTATAGGCCTGGCACATAGCATGTTTTCCAGCATTATATAAGTTAGTAAAAATACTTAGGACAATGCTTTGCACATTTTAAGTGCGCAGTAAAAATTAGAGTCCACCCCTATTTATTGGCCCATAGTGAATGAAACAAGATGAACTGGTTGGGGCAGAGAAAAAGTTGACCTCTTCTCTTTCTTCCTTTCTCAGGAAGGCCCTGCCCTTTGGGCCTCCAACACTTCCAGCCTGGCCTCCTGTAGTCAGCCCTTGATACTCCTACTTACTCACCTTTCCTCCACAAAGCCAAAGGCTGGGCCTGAACTGTGAGGCCTGACTCCTTGCATATACCACCTTCCCATGGCCTCTGACCCAGGACCAGGGTCTCACTAATAACAGAGCAGAGGGCCAGCAGATGAATGGACACCTTGAAACAGAGGAGCAGTGGGACCAGGTAAGGGTCCCTCCAAAGTTAAGATCACCATACCATGGGACAGTTTCCTCCTCCTCCTTGTCCCTTTTCCCTCATCTCTGTAACTTGGTCTCTATCTTTGAGTCCCAGCCTCTTTGGTGGGTATATGTGCCTTCCTCCCTGGGCCCCAAGCTCAGGTGCTGTGTTTCTCTCTCTCTGGGTCACTCTTTGGCAGGCACCTAGGACCTGGTGCTGTTGCTACTCTAGGTTGAACACAAGGTACATTGTTGGCAATAAATGAACTCCTTCCTCCACTTATCTCTTTCTAGCAAGCTCTGTCCCTATCTCCGTTAGCATGTGTCTTTCTCTCTACAATTCTGTCTGTTTCTAAGTCTCCTGGTATTATCCTTGCCTTGACTTTGTTTAATTTCACCAGGTCTTTGCCTCTCTGTCAACATCTTTGCTTTCTGTCTCTTGGTCTCATTTCCTCTTAGTTTCTGGGCCTTCAATATTCTCTCCACCATTCACCTCTGACCTAGAGGCGTCTCAGATACTGTATCTCCCATCTCTTTCCTTGTGTCTGTCTTGCCACACAACTGGGTCATTCACTAGGCAGATGTTCATGCCTCCACTCTGGTTTGGCCCAAGGTAAATAGTTTGTGACATTTAAAAAAAAATTTACATACAATATTAGTTTCAGGTGTATAACAATGATTTGACATTTGTATATATTGCAAAGGGATCACAAGTCCAGTTACCATCTGTCACCTTACAGAGTTAATACAATATTATTGACTATAGTCTCCAGGCTGTACAATACATCCCTATGGCTTATTCATAATTTGTGAATTAATGAGCCTCTCCTCCCTGGTTTTCATTCCAGAAGTGTCTGTCCTTATCTCTATCTCTGTCATTCTCTTGGTTTTCTTGAGTCCTTACCTTGCACATTCTTAATTCTGCTATCTTTGTTTATATCTCTGCTTTCTTCTGCGTCAGTCTCTCTGGCTCTATCTGAAAAGGAGACAACACTCTCTCTCCAAGTCTCTTATTGCTTCTGAATGCTTCTCTGGGTCTCTTACTAACTCCCTTTGCTTATCTCTGGGTCTTTGTTAGCTGTGTTAGGGCCCGTCTCTCTATCTGTATCTAAAGACCTTCCTGCTCCTCCTTTTTTATACATCCAGTGGATGGGACTGGCCCATTTGCCCTCGACAAACATGGTGATATAGTCCCTGGCTGTAGGGTCGTGACACCGCCTCTGCTGAGCGTGTACCCTCAACTGCCATGGCAGCGGATCTCGCGAGCGCTCCGGCTCTCCCGCGGCAGGCCCCTGCGCCAAGCTCGCGGGTTGGTTGGACCCACCCCCCGCTCGCCCTCATTGGTGCGGCTCAAGCCAGCCACTCGGCCATTGGCTGAGCGGAGGCACACTTTCCCCCCCCACACACCCCTGGGTCAGATGGGGGCGATTGGTGCTGACTTGAGGGGCCGTTTGGAGGAGGACCCGGCGTGTGAGGAGGTTGCGGGGGGTCGGAACAGGGACCCGAATCTGGGTGACCGTGGGACCAAGAGGAACAGAGAGACGCAGGCCCGGGACTGGGGTACCAGGGTTGTGGGATGGAGATGGAGAACCAGAACCGGGGCTGAGGGATCCAGGAATGCAAACCCAGGTCTGGGACTAGGTTGTGGGAATAGGGGAGGGGCGAGGGGAGTGGAGGCCCGGGCCGGGAGAATCGGAGACAAAGACTCGGGCTTATGGATTGGGGAGACCCAGGCCCAGGTCTGGGGTACCTGGAGGGGCGGAGAGAACGGAAACCGTGCCAGAGGCTTAAGAACTAGGGACAGAGACTCAGACCCGGGACTGGGGTTGATCTAGGGTTCTGTGCCTAAACCTGATTCGAGGGAGCAGGGGGAGTCTGCACGTTTAGGGATGGGGCCTGAGGAAGCGGCCCAGGGCAGGGGGCAGAGGTGACTCCTTAGGGTGAGGCCACAAATGGAGGTGTGTCTGAGGCAGGTGGGGGTGAGGGGCGGGACTGGCAAGTGGCAGGGTGGGCGGAGCAGAGGGGAACAAAGGTGAGTAAGGATGAGGAGGCAGAAGCTAGGCAGAGGGTAGGGGGAGAGCCTCTGGGAATGGGACCTGAGGCCCGGCTCCCATCCCCTCCCTGGAGAACAGGCGGCCAGACGCCCAGGTCAGTGCTCAGGGTCCAGCTCTTGAACACTGTCCCTTGCAGGTGCCCACATGTGGCTTCTCTGCTCTCTGACCCCCTAGTCCCTCTATGTCACATCCTTTTCGCATTCTGTACTGGTGTCTACATCTTCTCCCTCTTGTCTCTATCTTCTCTGTCTTTTTCTCCCTTGTCTTTCTGACCCTCTGAGGGCCTCCTGGAGCCCCTACACTGTTACTCTCCTAAGAATCTTTCATCATCCTAGGTTTCATCTCATTAAAGCCGTTTGTCTCCTCTGTTTCTCTGGCTCTTAGCTCTCATCCTGCTGTTCCTTTTTGTCCAGTGTCTCTCCCTTGTTACTTTCTCCATCTGAAGATGACTGTGTGTGTGTGTTGTTTTTCTCTGTCTGTATGTCTGTTTCTTCCTATGCCCAAATTTTGCCTTGCCCACTCCGGTGCCTCCATTTAACTGGCTAATTAGCCCAGGAGGGGCAGGTTCCTCCTGGCCGAGCTCTCATTTGCACTAAGGTTCCTCCCCGCCCCGTTGGTGGGGGCCAGGAGTTCATTTCCCATTTTCTGTATTCTCTGTGTCTCCAGACCCCAATCTTCAGAGCAGTTGAAAAGGTTTATGCAATAAAGGCAGTTGCTACATTCCTCTTAGACCTTCGCCCCTTTCTCTATCCATCCTGATCTCTGTCCTTTGCCTAATTTTTCCCAAAGCCCTTAACACACTATATGTTACTTCTTAATCTTGTTTTTGTGTGTTCTGATTAAAATATAAACTCCACGAGGGCAGGGATTTTTGTCCATTTTGTTCCCGGTTGTGTTTGCTAGGTTTGGCATTGTGACTGACACATGGAGGATACTGAATAATTGCTTAAGGAATGAATGAATGAATGAATGAATGAATGTTTGCATGCCTGGGTGTGGACCCTCCAGGGTGCTGGCCTTCTAACTGATCTCTTCCCTGCATCCTCTGGGTCTCTCCACACTTGTCTGGGCCTGTCTGTCTCTGTGCACCTGTGACTGCCCTTCCTTGTCTCTGTCCACAGGCCCTGCCCCTGTTTCCGTCCATCTGACATGGGGGTCCTGGACTCTGACTCTTGCCCTTCCTTCCCACAGAGGTCAAATCAGGAGCTGAGCTAGAGCTGGGGCGACCGGCCTAGGACTGCCCTGGACCGGGCCAAGGCCATGGCCCCACCACTGCCGCCACCATTGGCCACCAGTACTCCACTCCTGCATGGCGAGTTTGGCTCCTACCCAGCCCGAGGCCCACGCTTTGCCCTCACCCTCACACCACAGGCCCTGCACATACAGCGGCTTCGCCCAAAGCCTGAAGCCAGGCCCCGTGGTGGTCTGGTGCTGCTGGCCGAGGTTTCAGGCTGTTGTACCCTGCGGAGCCGCAGCCTCTCGGACTCAGCAGCCTACTTCTGTATCTACACTTACCCGCGGGGCCGGCGCGGGGGCCGGCGCAGAGCCACACGCACCTTCGGGGCTGATGGGGCGGCCACCTACGAGGAGAACCGGGCTGAGGCCCAGCGATGGGCCACTGTCCTCACATGTCTGCTCCGTGGACTGCCGCTGCCTGGGAACGGGGGTGAGGTCCTGGGCAACCTTGGTGTCTCTGAGGGTCTCCCTCTATGGGCATCTCTGTCTGCTTTTCTGTGTGTTTGTGTGGTCTCTCTGGGGCCATATTGAAAGTGTGTTACCAGACAGGGATAGGCTACAGAAGGAACAAAACCACAGACTGAGAAAAATTATTTGTGTCTGCTGCTCTCTCATGAGATTTTTGTCTCTGTTCCCTCCCCCCTTCCATGGGTCCTGACCACAGATGAGTCAGAGGCTCCCAGGCTGATGAGAGCAGCAGACTGAGACGTGATCAGTCACCACCCAGGGCGCTCAGAGGTGGCATCTAAAACATTAGCCTGTGGGGGTCCAGAGAAGGCTTTCAGGCAGAGGCCCCCACCCAGGGTCCTCAGTTGGCACAGGAAGGTAAAGATTCAAGGGTCCCCATCTGGTGGGACTTCTTGGTCCTCCAGGGTCCTGCTGGCTGCCCGGGGGATGGTTCTAAGGGATGGTGAGAGAATGGAGGTTCACAGAGTGAAGCAACCCGATCTGGGATCTAGGTGTTCTTGGTGAGGAAGGTGGAAACTATAGCTCTCTCCCTCCTCTCACCCGTGGGTCCAAAGGGCACTGGGATTAGAAACGCAAGCCCTGCCTTTGTCTCAGGAGGGTGTGGCCTGGGCAGTGAAGCCTGGGAGAGAAAAAACTTGAGGTTTCTGGTCAGGGGCCTGGGTCTCTGGCCTCTATGGACTCCGTCCCTTCTCTCTGCAGAAATCACCACCCATCTTCTGCCAAGGCCACCCCGATTGCTTCTACTGGTCAATCCGTTTGGTGGGCGGGGCCTGGCTTGGCAGTGGTGTAAGAACCACGTGCTGCCCATGATCTCCGAAGCTGGGCTGTCCTTCAACCTCATCCAGACAGGTAAGGGTGGTGTCAGCATGGAAGGTGAGGGCTTGGGGTTGAACTCTTGTATCCTGGGGAGCGGTGGGGAGGGGTTGGGACCTCACCTCCTGGTTCCCCACATTAGAGCGACAGAACCATGCTCGGGAGTTGGTCCAGGGACTGAGCCTGAGCGAGTGGGATGGCATCATCACAGTCTCGGGAGATGGGCTGCTGCATGAGGTAGGGCGGGATCCCCAAGCCCGGAGCCCTGGGGGAACTGTGGAGGCCGGAGCAGCACCCAGGTGTCTGGTCTCTGGCCCTCCAGGTGCTGAATGGACTCCTAGATCGCCCTGACTGGGAAGAGGCCATGAAGATACCCGTGGGCATCCTCCCCTGTGGCTCAGGCAACGCATTGGCTGGAGCTGTGAACCAGCATGGGGGGTAGGTGGGCTTTTCCTGCCTCGGTGAGCTTGAGGGTACCCTGAAGGAGAGATAACAGGGACCTGGCACATCTGCCCCTCTCTCTGCCAGTCCACTGTCAGGTTAATCAGTCACATTTTTTTGTTGTTAATCCTCACCCAAGGATATTTTTTCCACTGATGTTTTAGAGAGAAGGTGGGGGCAAGGGAGTGGGAGAGAGAGAAACATTGATGGGAGAGAGAGAGATCAATTGGTTGCCTCCCGCACACACCCCAACCAGGGCTAGGGATTGAACCTGCAACCTAGGTATGTGCCCTTGACCGGGAATTGAAACCTCAACCCTTCGGTACAAGGCCCGATGCTCTAACCACTGAGCAACTCCAGCCAGGGCGAGTCTGGCATTTTTGCTGGTCTTGTATCCCTTGTGCCTAGAACTCTGCCTGGCACACAGGTGACCCTTAGTGAATACTTGTGGAGTGGAATGATCGACAGGGGACCTGGCCCAGTAAGGAGTCCATGTGGAGGTGGCCAAATGGCTGCGGGTGGGCCCAGGGCCATGGCCTGCCTGGTCCCCTTGCTGTCTGTCTCCTCCCTGCCCTGCACTCTGTCTTTCACCCAACCCTGTTTACCCTTTCTCACTGTGTCAATCCATCTCTGGCTCCGAAGGTTTGAGCAGGCCCTGGGCATTGACCTGCTGCTCAATTGCTCACTGCTGCTCTGCCGGGGTGGCTGCTGCCCACTGGACCTCCTCTCTGTGACCCTGGCCTCGGGCTCCCGCTGTTTCTCCTTCCTGTCTGTGGCCTGGGGCTTCGTGTCAGATGTGGACATCCAGAGTGAGCGCTTCAGGGCCTTGGGCAGTGCCCGCTTCACACTGGGCACCGTGCTGGGCCTTGCCACACTGCACACCTACCGTGGACGCCTCTCCTACCTCCCTGCCACTGTGGAGCCTGCCTCACCCACCCCTGCCCATGGCCTGCCCCGTGCCAAGTCAGAATTGACCCTGGCCCCTGGCCCAGCTCCACCCGTGGCCCACTCACCCCTCCATCGCTCTGTGTCTGACCTGCCCCTACCCCTGCCTCAGCCTGCCCTGACTTCCCCTGGCTCACCTGAACCACTACCCATCCTGTCACTCAATGGGAGGGTGCCAGAGCTGGCTGGGGACTGGGGTGGAGCTGGGGATGCTCCACTGTCCCCAGACCCACTGCTGCCTTCCCCTCCTGGGTCCCCCAAGTCAGCTGTACTCTCACCCATCACTGAGGGGGGCCCAGAAATGCCAGCATCCTCTGGGCTCCTGCCTCTCACCCCTGATGGTGACTCGGTAGCGATCTCTACTGGGGGTCCAGCAGACCACCTGCTCCCTCCCCTGGATACCCCGCTACCCCCAGGCTGGGTGACACTGGAGGGGGACTTTGTGCTCATGTTGGCCATCTCACCCAGTCACCTGGGGGCCGACCTCATGGCAGTTCCCCACGCGCGCTTTGACGACGGCCTGGTGCACCTGTGCTGGGTGCGCGGCGGCGTCTCACGAGCTGCGCTGCTGCGCGTTTTCCTGGCCATGGAGCACGGTAGCCACTTCAGCCTGGGCTGCCCGCAGCTGGGCTACGCGGCGGCTCGTGCCTTTCGCCTCGAGCCGCTCACCCCTCGCGGAGTGCTCACGGTGGATGGGGAGCAGGTGGAGTACGGGCCCCTGCAGGCGCAGGTGCATCCAGGCCTTGGTACACTGCTCACCGGGCCTTCGGGCCGCCCTGGGCGGGAATCGTGAACCTCGCAAAACTTAGGGCCCGCTACGGGCGCAGTCTACATTCCGAGGGGGCGGAGGCTGAGCTCGGGGCGTGGCCTGGCTGCTAGAGTTGGCGTGGAGGCCCCACCTGCAGAGGTTCTAGCCCTGTCTCAGGATGGCACCCACCTCCAGGGGGGACCAGAGGTGATGTTAGAGGGTGGCCCGAATGCCAGGGGTGGGGGCCATGAAGGTCACAGGAAAGTAGGCTCGCTCGGGAGGATGGTGCCTGAACAATTAGAGCCGGGTTCGGACCACATCCTCGCTTCCAGCTCCTTGAAGACCAGGTCGGCTGAGGGCGGGACTTGTCATTAATGCATTATCCAATGATGGGGCCTGGGATGGACGGGCTGGCCAGTCAGGCCCTGGGTCTCGCCCTGCCCACTCCGGTGCCTCCATTTAACTGGCCAAGTAGCCCAGGAGGGGCAGGTTCCCCCGGGCCGACGCTAGCATTTGCACTAAGGTTCCTCCCCGCCCCGTCGGTGTGGGTGGGGAAGTTCATTTCCCGTCTTCTGTGTCCTGTGCGTCTCCAGATCCCAATCTTCAAAGCAATTGAAAAGGTCTATGCAATAAAGGCAGTCGCTACATTCCTCTTAGCCCCTCGCCCCTACCTCTGTGCAGCAGCCCGTGGGAGGGATCCGACTCGGCTCTTCCGGCAGCTCCTACCTTTCTTGGCCCGAAACCCAGACCTGCCCACGGACTGCGGCCTTTGTGGCCCGCTGGCCTTGAACTGGGGCCAGGGAGCTGCCTCCTCCCCACGACAGCTGGCTCCGGGGTTATCAAGATTTATTCAGGATAGTGTTAACGGAGGCGGTGGGAGGGTGGGGTCCCCGACGTGCCAGGGGCACACACAGAGGACCCTCCCCGCCCCCGCGAGGGAGGGGGGAGGCTCGCTTTTTCTTAAAAATATAAATGTATTTATCTGCATCATCACGTCCCTGGGGCACCCAGCTGGCCGGCCTGTGGACCACAGGATGGGGAGGGAAAAGGGTGTTCAGGGTGAAAGTCTGAGTGAGGTGGAGGACATCTCCGCCGGGTGGGGGTGGGGGCAGCCTCACAGGGCTCCGTGCTGGGCCTGGTAGCGGGACAGCACAGCACGGTAGTGGGACAGCTCCTGGCGCACGGCCACCACCTCCTGCCTCAGCAGGGCGTTCTCCTTCTCCAGGAAGGCCGCCCGCACCGATATCTGGTTCTCCTTAAGCCGCCGGGCGTCGCGGGACCGCTTGGCTGCCTCGTTATTCTTGTACCGCCGACTCCAGTACTTCTCGTCCTGGGGGTACGGAGGTGGGAAAGCACTGAGGTCCAGAGGGGCCCCCCCGCCCACAACGAGAGAAAGGAAGAGCAGCTTTGCTTGTTCCTTCAAGGACCAAAGGGAATCTAAAGGACCTTCAGGGCTGCTTCTTGCCCAGCAGTGGGGCCTAAAGGATATCAGGTCTCCACTAAGATGGGTACCCAAGGGTCTGCCCTTCTAGGGCCCTGGTTGCTAAGGTGAGCAAGTCCCTAGCAACAGCCGAGGCGTGAGAGAGTCTCCCACCCCGAACAATTGGGCTTCAAGTCTCCAGTGTACAAAGCAGACCCCACCCTCCTCCGTTGACAACCAGGAGTCGTTAGCTCCTGGTTGCTAAGGATGCTTGTTCCCTAGCAACAGGGCCTTCAGGGTGTGAGAGATCCCAGTGAAAAGCACTGCCCTATATAACACCTTTCCCCACCCTGGTTGCTAAGTAGTCTAGCCTCCCCAGTAATGGGATTTGATGTCCCATAAAATCCAGAGCTGGTCCCTTTGGACCTGATTGCCAAGGCAACTTCATCCCTCATCAAACAAAAGTCAAGTCTAAGTGGTCCCAAAGACTGCAGCTGGTCTCTAGCCTACTGGCCTTGAATAGAAACCAGGGAGCTGCCCCCTGCCCAACAGGTCCCAGTTAGTTGAACAGTTATCCGTTAGCAAAGAAGCTATCCTGAGACCCCATCCCCCCATGACTATGCCCAGGTTCTTTAGTCCTGGAATTTGGTTGCAGAGGAGGACCATTCCTTAGTACCAAGGAGCACCCAGAGTTCTGAAAGATGCCTCTTGACCCCCATTTAATTAAAGCCTAGTTCCTGACTGCAAGGGCAAATCCAGTCCCTAGCAACAAGGCCTTGTGGCAGGAGAAACCACTAATCTAGATTGGGCTTGCAGGCCGTCCTAGCTGCTTTGAGTAGTTGTGTCTTACACGAAGGCATGGCAAAGTCTTGTGAGAGAAGCCCAGGCACCTCTTGTTAGGGGAAACCCCAGAACTGGAAGGAACAATGCTAGAAAGATGCAGTCACTGCCCAAAGTACCCAAATCAGAATGTGGCCCTGGCTGCCAATGGGAACCTGAGGCCTCTTGCTAATAAGGCAGTTCAGACCCAGGAAATAAGGCCTGGAGGGCTGGCAGTCTTCGTCCTAGGTAGATGTAATCACCCCAAAGGATGCCTCAAATCAGAGATCAAAAGACAAGCCCCAGCCTGTCTGGTTGCTAAGACAGGTTGATACCCCACTGCTAAAAAATGCTGTCCTTAGTAACTGAGCCCGGCAGAGCCTGAAGCCTGCCCCACTGAAGAGGGTTTGGGTCCAGCTGACAGAAGGTCCAGCAGGGCTGGCTGAGTCTGTGTGTCCCATAATTATGCCATCTTCCTAAATCTCAAGCCCAAAACTTTGCCCCCTTGTGCTCCATGGCCAAGGAGAACTGATCTCTGTAGAACCTGAGAGCTAGTCCTAGTATGAACTCAGGCCTGACGGTAGGAGCCCTGGCTGTGGGGCGGAGCTGGCCAAGCCTGTGTCCGTCATCTGGCAGTGCTCACCTTCTGCTCCTCTGGCACCTGGATCTTCCTCGCCTTCTTCATGATGGGCTGGGGCTTAAGTTCCTCCTCTGAGAAGCGATGTCTCCGGGGGTCAAAAGTCTCATGACCAGGAATGCTTGACAGGGCTAAATCAGCAGGGTCAGGTTCAAAGGTCATCAGCACCTCCACGGTATCTGGGTCCACAGGGCTGGGCGTGTCCCGAGAGGTCAGACCTTGGGAAAATAGAATGTATCACCTGAGCGTGCAGTTTTTGGGGGAGGTTTCCAGATGCTACCCCCTACTCAGGCATCACATCCACTCAGGTATCATATCCACCACAGTGAAGGCCAACATAAAGTTTGCCAGGGATCAACCTCCCTAATATAAAATATGAAGGCTCCCTAAGCCACAAAAATGCTTAGAAATCATTGAAAAAACTCAACTTTTACAAACAGAGAAACTGAGGCCCAATTATTACCTAACTTGCCCTAAGTTATACTTGAGTGTAGGCTATTGCTTCTAAAACCTCAGGTCTTCAGAGTCACAGTGTTAGCTTCATCCCCATAGACTAGTCTGAATCCCTGACCAATGCCCAGACCCTCGGCTGTTCAGAGAAAAGGATCTCAATGCACTGAAGAGACCTCAAGAGCCCTTAAGAACTGTTAGCTCTCAGCAGTTAGGGAAGAGAAGCGGAAAGGGCTCTGAAGTCCCAGAAGGTTGGCTCAAGAGGGGCAGGCGGCCTGTGCCTTTAATACTGAGCAAACAGGGGTCAGCTGAGGACACCGGTTCAGGGCCCAGTCACGTGCCAGAGCCTGCTTCCTCCCCACCCCGCCCGCCGCCACGGGCTCCCTCACGTTCCCCAGGCCCCGCCCCCTCGCGCGTGACCGCGCGTGCGCGAAGCACAGAGGAGGTTAGGAGAGGACTCACGTGGCGCGGGAGTGTGCGGCTGGGAGGGGGAGGGCCCTGGTTCTGCCGGTAGGTCGGACCAGTGGCAGGTGTGTCCAGGAATCCCCGACCTGCTGCCCGACCCTGGAGGCCCCAAGATGCCAGAGAGGGCACACCTTTCCTCTCGCTCCCTCGGGTCTCTCAGCTCGAACCTCTCAACCTTCAAAGATCCAGTACCCCCTGCTCTCTGGGGAACACAGGAGAACCGGCCTCCTCGATCTTCCCCTCAGAGACCTAATCCCTTCTTCACTGGGGTACACAGTCTGGGATCCCAGGCCCCTCCACTCCCAGGAATATGGGAAGCTCAGCCCTCGCCCCAGTGGAAGACCTAGAATGAGGATCCTCCGCCTTGTCCCTTCTGCTGGACTACAGGACCCGCGGTCCTAGCCCTCTCCAGTAGGGGACCCAGAAACCTGGGCTGACTGTCCCTAAATTGTGGAGAAACATATGCTTGTACCCAGCCCTCGCCTTCTCCCCAGTAGAGGGTCTGGTAGTTCAGTCCTATCCCAGTTCAACCAATTCCGGGCCCAGAATATAGGAGTACAGTCCACTTATCACCAAATGACTCCGGTGTTCTAGGCTCCCAGTCCCGGCTCCCCAAATCCCCACCTCCCCCAGGTAAGTCCACACTACCACCCCACTAGGCAGACTTCCTAGAATTTGGGGCCCTAAGTCCCTCCTTTCTTTTGGGTCCTGGAGACCCAGTCCTTGACCCACTACGGGACACAAAATCCGATCTCCTCTCCCGACATCTCTCAACTAGGGAAGAATTCTGGAACGCAGCCCGACTCCCACCGACGGGCCCCGGGGTGTCGCGAAGCCCCGCCCACTGTAGGCTAAGTCCCGCCCACCCACGGCCCTGCCCCCGCCGCTGCACCTGCGCGGTGGCCGCCGGCGGCCCCGAGGGCAGCCCGGGCGGGGGCGTGCCCCGGCGAGGAGTGAGGGGAAGCCGAGCCGCAGGAGCCGGGCCCCGGGGAGGGTGCGGGCGTGCGCACGGGCGAGGGTGCCGGTGAAGGGTCACCGGGGGGCGGCGGGCTGGGAGGGAGCCCATGCTCCAGCAGGAAGGCGTCCAGGTCCACGTACTCCACGTCGCCGAATGGCAGCGTCCGCTCCCACAGAAGCGGCGCCAACAGACTCGGGCCGGGCGCTGCCGACGGGCGCCCCTGAGGGGACCCGCCGCCCACCACCGCCCCAGGTGGGGCATCCGTCGGGCCCGCCGTCTCCAGGCCCGGCCCGGGAACCGTGGCTGCCGGCAGAGCCGCCTTGCGCTCCTTTTCCTTCAGGAGACCTGGGGACAGGAAGACCAGGCAGGGTAGGGAAGGAGAGGAAGATAGAAATGGAGAAAAGACCCCGCGTCAGAGAGACACGAGCAAAGGGAGGAGAGAGACCCACACGATGGAGATCCAGAGAAAGGGAGGACAGACGACGGGGATGGGGAGAGACCGGAGAGGGAGGGCAAGGACCCAGAGAGAGGAGGGGACAGAGATTCAGAGAGGGAGAGAGACCCATAGAGAAAGGTCAGAGATGGGGGCGGCAGATACACAGACAGGGGGACAAAGACCGAGAGAAGATGGAAACTCAGAAAGGGGAGGACAGGGACCAGAGAGAGGGGAGGTCAGAGATGCAGAGAGAGATGGGGACAGAGATCGGGTAAGGGACAGACACAGAAGAAGGATGGAAGTTCAGACAGGTAGGTGGAGGGTTGGGCAGGTGAGAGAAAAAAGGCAGTTCTGTGATTCCTCTGTAACCTACCCCCCCGCCCTGTGCTCTGTATCCCCTTCCTGCCCCCACACTCCGTAAGGGACAGGAAGGGGCTCTGTTCCTGGGGCACATTCCTCATCCCTAGACTCCATGTGACCCCAGAAGGCCCCGCCCAAGCCCGTGTCACTACCGTGTGAGCATCAGACACACCCCCTCTTTCCTCCCTGGACCCCA